GCTGGCTTGCTTGGGGTTTAGCGTTTGTTGGCCCGAAAGCCTAACCCTGGTGAAGGTCTGTCTGTTTGTCTCTTTCTCTTTCTCTCTCAAGCCTCACTCTCTGTCTCTCTGTTGTCTTGGTTTGCTTCCTGCTAGTCTTGCCGACCAAGCTTCGACGGGCCCATCGCGCTGCACTGCCAGGCATGGCAGGGTGCATTGACATCAAGCCGTAAGTGTTCTCATCAGAGAGATTGCTGTCCAGTGTGATGTCTACTTGTCAACCCGTACTTCTAGCTGTAGGAGTCTGTAAGTTGGACGATTCAATCGCATCGCGAGCCTCACAAGCTGGACGGGCAAACGACGCGAGTGAGTGCCCGCAGTATATAATGCAAACTTCACCGGCAAAGCAAGCGACATGACCCAAGAAATAGCACAGATTCCGGCGCTTTTCCGCAGAACACGCTAATTCCGGCCACCGGTAGTGAGCAAGTGCCAGTAGCCAAACTAACCGCTAGAAATCTCCTTCACTTGCAACTGCAAACACACACTTGCAGTGCAACATTGCAGCCATGTGTCAAGCGATCAATCGTTTGGAATCCGAGCAAAGGTGGTTTCATGAGCAGTCCTGTCAGATCCTTTACATCAACCCCTGTAAAGGGATCTGACGGCAAACCCCCAGAAGACTTCGCAGCGGCTCAATCATACGACCATCACACTATTGGCCACCTGAGCATCTTCTTTCATCATGGCCTGAGGCTTGCAGGGTCAGCAACAGCCATGCAGGTCGTGCTTCAATTGACGGTCGAGTCGCCATGCAAGCTTCCACCTGGGGGACATGACACGTCGGTATCGATCTGCTAAAAATGGTCCGAGCGTACTGTTTCGTGCCTGGCCTATTTTCTCTCAACTCCGCGCCTCTGAAGCAAAACCTCGGCCAACCTGATGATGTACGGTTCCGAAGTCTTGCGGCACAAGCTGACGGTGACACCGATGCGAGTCTTCTCCAGCTCGTGGGCTGCGATCTTCCTCCTCCCGAGTCCCTTCAGCCAAGAGGTGATCCGGTGCATGTCATCTGCATTCAATGCGATGCTGAGGCCCTCCTTTGCGGCCAGGAGGCCGGCCAAATCCTCAGGCACATGTCGTCCAGACACACGGCTGAAGGACTTAGTTGGCTTTGTGATTGCCGTCTTGCTCCGATTCGACTTGTGATCGCGATGCTCCACCTTCAACCTCCGATGCTTTGCAACATCCTTGATCGGAGTGGGAGCTTCACGCAAAGGCTTTGACTTGGGCGTGCTGCTGCCGTGCTGGTCTAAATCGCCCGAACCGCTCGAGCTGCCGCCTGCGTTTTGCTCATGCAGCACATGGCGATCGAGCAGCTCCTCGGCATACCGTTGCCTGGCAGCTTGTGACATGACCACTCCAACACAAAGCCCGGAGGAGTCAGACGACTGCACGCACTTCAGCTGCAAGCCAGACAATGATACCGATTTCTCGACATAGGTCTGGAGCTCCTGCCACATGTCCAGAGACAGCTCCGCTTGGAAGTGAGTCTCCAGCTGACCCTCGCGCTGGACGCGTGCATCTGCAGCAGAATTGAAGCTTGATTCGACCCAGTCTCGAATCAACTGCAGCACGACCACTGTCCCCAACGACAATGATGCCGCAGCAACATGATCCGGCGATTCACCATCCATCCTTCTGCAGCTACAGTACTCTCTCGAGGGCCTGGAGGCTGCGGCCCAAAGGTCGACTTCGCATTGGGGTGCCGTGATGAATGCAAGCGGCCCTGGGGATACTCACTTCGCTCCCTCTTTTTAAATCTGCTGTCGTCTCCAAGACTCGCCTTGGAGGAATGGGTCGGTCGGCCGGTCTCAGCAACGACTTCCGCTGCTCCCAACCAAAGTCCCTGGCTTGTCACAAGTGGAGTTCATTGAAACAGGCTTGACCTACTTCGAGTCTGTCGTGCTTCGGTCAGACCCCAGTGACCCCAGCAAATTTTGATGTGTCCTGTCAAACCTGAACCTCCGACAAGCCGGAACAGTCGTTCGGAGTCGCTCCTGCCTGGCAGTTTTTCAGCTCACAGGAGCTCGGGCTTGTTGAAGTAGACCCTAGCAGTGGAACCGTCAGTCGGAGAGAAAGGGAGTACTCTGCAGCACGGCAAGGGCGGATACAAGTACTTCAGCAAGCAGTTCGGTCCAGAAGAGCACGGCCGGACCAAGGCTGATGATGAAGACTGCCCAGCCCAGCTGGAGTAGTGCGTATCCTGAGCATTTCATTCAGGAAGGTGTTGCAGGCTCTAGGCTATAGGGGTTGAGTCTCTAGGACCTAGAGACGTGCCACCGGGGAAGCACAATAAAGAGGTGCCCGTCTCAGCGAAACCACTCCCCCAATCTGCTTCCTGACATCACGCCAAACCGTTAACCTCAGATCCTAGTTAATGGCCCATGGGACAACTGTCACTTCAGAACGCATCTTCGAAGAGCTTCGTGAACCGGACTGCGACCACAAAAGACATGTCCGACAACCCTAGCTGACCTCTGTGCCAGCGATTCGATTTGGGTTGTAGAGGACCTGAAAAGCCACCATTGAAGTTTAGTTTCACATCGTTTGGTGAGCTGGGTTGGGACCAGCTTGTAGCTTAGCCTTAGTGGATCTTTCGCGACGTGCTCATGCCATTAAGAGTTGGGTGATCGAAAATAGGGGTACTGTATTTGGGGGTCCTTCTAATAAGGATCCTACTATTTAATGCACTATAGAAGGGTCCCCTATTTTCGGACACCCCCATATACCGTTGCTACCATCTGAGCTCCGGGGCCGGAGTTGCCGGCATGCGCAGCTTCCGGAAGGGAGGCCACGGCCACGGCCAGGGCCGCGGGGGCGGCAGCCTCACAATATCTCACAAGCAAGGGCTTTAGACAAAAGTGGCTTCGGCTGTTGAACTCTCGATCTTTGCGATGGTTTGCGAGGCTTGCTTAGGCGTTGGTGCTATAAGGTACTGCAAGCACGCTCCTGGACCCTGTGCGCAATGTGGAAACTGCCAGTTCGTGGCCCTGAACACATCCTCACGAGTTGGTGCAACAGTGCGCATGCTTGGATGCAGCGATATCTGTGGCTAGATAGAGCTCGCAACGTTGTGGGCACGCTGTACATGCGGGAACAATTCCTTTCGTGGGGACCATGCCACAAAATAAAACGCATTCTTAATTGTTGATACTGTGATGCCCTCAAAGGGTTTCCCATCAGCCCGAGCATTACAGCAGAACAATAGAGTCTATCAAGCACATGGGTCCATGGTCTATATCTTAATCTGAAACTGGGCAAGTACCGCGGAACCTGCTCCAGCTTCTGAGGCACCTGCGCTGCATGACATCGCAAAGCTTCGGCACTGCACCGTGCTAAATTCAGGGATTCCCCTTTCACCTCGCTGCCGCGCAAGGCTGTCTGCGGCGCGGACACGAAGGCAGTACCTATGGGAAGGGCTGTTCAACATGAGTGCTGACTCAAAGGAAAAACTGGAATCGACGAAGAACTCCCACTTCGTGTAAGGCTTCTGCTTGACAACATCCACATCGCGGCCACAACGCACAGGGCCTGAGCAACAAAGTTGCCACCCAAATTGCATACTGCCCAAGATGGTATGGCTGTCTTTTCGCTCTCGCGCATGGCCAGCCAAACATGAAACGCTCCACCATGCCTTGCCAAGCTCATGAAGCCAAGAAGCGGAGAGCAGGATGGAGGCCGAACGGCGTGCCATGTTCCCTGCACAGGGCACAGATTGAATGCACCTCTCATGACATGGCAAAAAACAACTGCATGCAACAGAAGTTGAATGCCTGTAAAAGTTTCTCGTCGCCGGAACTTGATGAGCCAATCAAAAATTGCTGCAGCGTGATGAAGCCAATACTCCCAAAGCAATACCCGCGACCTGCGCACAACACATGCAACAACGATTTTGCGTCCGCCCCGCCCCCCCCCTTCGAAATATGTTCATGATATCAATCATCTAACATGCGGAACATGTGCAACCTTTTTCCAGCTGAACAACCGCAAGCAGTAACGTGGTTTTTGCCCTCTTTGGCCGGACAGTGGGAAAATCCGGCATGTGCCATCCGCTAATAGCATCCAGTACTGCAAGTCACAGGCCTGAAAGGCACTGAGAGGGACCTTGCTCGCAACAGGCTCTGTTGTCATGGTCACCAAATCGAATTCCAAGGGCAATGCGATCGTGTTTGCAAGTAATCTCGGTCAGCGTGCTGTTGTTGGAGCCTGCACATTGTCGAGTGATTGCTGAAATGCAAAATGGAATAAATGCCGGTGAAGCGTCTTCTGATGCGAAGCAAACAGTGTGTCCATGTTGTTGCCGCTGCCTCTCCCAGTCCGATGCTCGCATAAAGCCCCTGTGCTGAAGCTGGCTGGCCTGGATGCCATGCAGCGACTGATACAGAGTTTCCTGCCACACCTATGTTTGCTAATTACTCGAAAGTTTTCAACTCTGTAGCAAAATGAGGTTGCAACGCTGCCAGCTCGCGCAGTTGCACTGCATGGACCAGCGACTCCTTTCAGAATCTCGCAGGCCGTGCAACCAATGATCATCGAGGCAGTGCCTCTGGAACAAAGTCTAAGTTACTTTGCTGGTGTACTGACCAGCCGTCCTGATTCATGGCTCCAACCTGTTTCATGGGCTTCAACTCCAGGTTCCTGCAGTCTCATGGGTCGCGGCCGAATCCCACTGACGAGTGCGGCATGCTCAGCTCTTGGCGCGGTACTCGTGATGTGGAAAACCCATAGGATTTTGCACCTGAGTGCCATGGGATGGATTGGGAAATGGATGTACCCTTCGGCCCCACCGAAGCCACGAACAGGCACACGAGTGCCCGGCGAGCAGCGTGCGGGAAAACGGCAGACCTGGCTAGTTGATCAGGTCGGGCAGGCAGGCCACGCCCACCAGCAGGCAGCAAAGCACACAACTTCAGCCGCAGAACAGTTTCCCGCCCTTTTGTGGACTCTTCAGCTCAGATCTATGGGGACTTTGCCCAAACACGTAAGCTGTCCCTTGGCATCCACACCAACACCTTGGACGACGGGCATTGTCTTTTTGAGGGGTCACTCAATTTAGTGACCCTGTGCGTGTGCGCGCGTGTGCGCATGCTCGCCGTTGCTCACCCCGTACCTGAGGATGTCTCGGCCATCTTTCAAGGCCAAGCTTGCCTTCGCCGATGCTTTAAGTCTGCATCTGGAGGGGAGAGGGCCAAAGGTCTTGGAGAGAACAAACTCAATGATGCAGGTTCAGGTCACAAAATGTTCCAGAAGTGACTGAACTGTCACTATGCGCAAGGTTGTCCTGCAAGCCGCTGCGGCCGTCGGCAAACAGGGAAGAAATGGAGAGAACGGGCCTTCTGATGTGAAACGATTTGGGCTTTGACAAGCAGAACCTCCAGACGCGCGCTCTGGGCCGGTGTTATTGACGCCAGATGGATAACCATATAGCAGTATTGGACGACAGAACCTTTTTTTTGTGACTCCCCTCCACAAGCAGCCTCTGCGTATCTTGGTGCTGCCCAGGTTCCGAGGTTAAGCCCATGGCAAGTGAGAGGCCGCCCCAATAGCGACCTGCCAGCTTCCATGGCTCCGTGGCTTTGCTCAAGTCTGAAATTGAAGCTGTTTATGCCGGCATGCGCAGGTGTCACATGAGCTTGGCATGTTGCCAGTCAGTGAGCGCTGCCAGTTTCTGCTACTTTGGGGCGCTGCTAGGCCTGCCACTGCAACTTCTACGAGATGAACACCAACGCATGTCCATTACGCTTCTGCCACCCGGATGCAGAAGACTCGTCCATGCCATTGCAGCGGACGTTGAATCGTAGCTGGAAGCGCTTCCATCCATTTCAAGGTCCCTGAGGACAGATTGGGGGTGTGCTCACGAGAAAGCTATCTTGAGACTCGGCTTTAGATTCGGCCTGGGTGGCCCCGGCCCCGAGCAGAGCGAGTCGACAGGCTTTATGTCTTATACAACATCAAGAATCACTAGCCGCAACCACCAGTAGCCTGTGTCATCTTCGGCTTTCAGTCCCATCGGCTCATGGTCTGCGATGCAGGCTGCTCGTTTGGCCATGCGATCTTCTGAAAGGTCCTCGTCTCGGCTCTTGATTGGTGAGGTGTTTTTCGGTTGTAATTGCAGCTGACAGTAAGAAACCGCTTCGAGCTTGGCCCAATCACGAACAATGTCCCAACATCTAATTATCCAACTGGAGGGGCGGGGCCAAGCGGTCTCCAAGCATCATCACATCCGACCACATCAGCAACGGACGACAAACAAAGCTGGCGAGGCAGGCTCGATCAGCAACGTCGCTAAGGCCGCTGAGGTTTTAAGTGATTTAGGATGCGTCGGGGGATGACAGCCTGCATGCCCTGTCCTCGGCCGTCGGGAACAGATCCGTCCCTCGAAGCAGCTTCAATGCGTCCTCATTCAGCACCTCGCCCTGAGCGCCTCAGGTCCAGGTCCAGAAACTCGTGGCTACAACTCTCACATATCCCAGAACAAACAGCGCCACACTCGAACATTTTGCAGTTCTTCCGCTTGCTTGGTTGAGCATGGTTGGGCGAGCTGCAGTCCAGGTGGAGGGCACCGGTCGACAACAGCTGCCGCAAGGAAACGGCTCCGCGGCGGTCCTTTCTCAGTGACGTTGCTGTGGAGTGCGCGGACGCACTGATGTGTGCTGATGCTTGCTCAAAGCTCCTTTCTGCGACCGACTTGTAAACGCCTCCTCCAAGGTCCTGTTCGGCCAAGCGACCGCACCAGGAGTTCGAGCGGATTAAATCAGCTCTGGTGGCCTGTCTCCACAATCACCACGACTGAGGAGCCCTCTTCTAGGGCTTGGGACACATCTGGCCAGGGCCTGCCAGGAACATTCTCTGAAACTTTGTCGAGACGTCCTTTCCTGGGACCTCCGGCGGGATGCCTCTCCAACGCTATTCGCGTCACGTGCCGAGCCATCAAGTGGTCACGGAGAAAGCAATGATACCTCGGACTCCACTCTCGGCCGTAAGTGCGCAATGCGTCGACGAGCGTGATCCGTGAGCTATCACCACATCTGAGTGGCAGACCACCAGATGGCGCCTGCATGGAGAACAAGCACGAAGTTGCTGTTTGACATCAGTTGCTCTGAAACCTTGCGGTGTCAAGCGAGCACTTTACTGTCATATGAATGCATTTGTCACGAAGTGGACTCCAGGCACTTTGCAGCCAGAGCGTCCGTCAGAAAATTCCCGAAGTCGATGTGATTGCCCACAACTTTGGCAGCTGGCGCGGCAATCCTGGTGCAAATTGCAAAAATAAAAGGGCCAGCAAGGCCAGATCAAATCGAACAGGAGTGAACGGAACTGGGCACATTGGAGTCTGCTCTTGGACTCCAATCCCCCCATTCTGGGCAAGCTGCAGATCTAACGCCATCGCTGTCTGCACGCTGCGTCGCATGTGCAAGGTGTCCTCGGCTAGTCCTGCAGTGCTCGGGCTGACAGCACGCAATCACAGTTTTGCGAGCTGGGACTTCAAGAGCGCTGTCGCCCATCCACGGAGCAACAGCGAGCAAAACTGTGTTTTGGCTGATCACTCGCTACTATGCAATGCGCTTGCCTTGGCATCGGAAGATCTCGTTGCCACCGCTGCTCGACTGACTGCGTGCAGCTGCCGCCGAAGGCGCCGGCAATAAAACATCGAACGCTGTGTGCCGCCAACGTCGAGCGGCCCGCATCAGCCAGCGCAAGGAGCTTCTAGACTCTCAGGATTGAAGTCTCTAATCTCTAGTTTTAATCTGGCTCCGGCTTGAAGTCTACCGCAACGACTCTAAGGAGTGTGATTCGTTTGCTTTCGGCGCTGCTACCAAATACCGTGACGCAGCCAGAGCGAGACAAATGCCGCTGCGAAGAGGACTTGCCAGGACAAGATCCAAATCGGAAAACCGGCCCGGGGGACCGTCCAAAAGCACGAGCTCGAAGTGCCCGCCGTACCAGTATGCGTCATGGAGCAATGCCTTCAATTGAACGTGGCCAGCACTTCCCACAGAGACTTGCGTAGCACCGTGGACTTCGTGGCCTGCTACTAGTGGCTTCGCCTGGCCTCGCAGAAGCCCTCGTATGTTTTGTTGTAGTCGGGATAAAACTGTACCTCGCAGTCTGGCAACGAGAGGTTGGCTTGTGCTGACTGCCTGCAGCCGCCAGGCTTAGGGAACAACTGCGCCGAACGCAAAGTGTTTGGATCTCTGAGATGGCTGGCACACTCGTTGCAGGGAACGATAACGCACGGCCTGACTGCATGCAAAGCTCAGCCGACCGTCAAATCAATTGGGAGGAACATGCGTGTGAGTGTGTGCGAAGCAGCTAGCACCCCGCCCTCCACCTCAGGACTACAAGGTCGTGCTCTGAGGGCCCACTTACGGCGCGAGAGTTGGTCGTAAAGGCAAAAACCAACACCAAGTCACAACACTGGCAGCAAGCCTGAACCTTACCCCCGCGACAGCCCACACCACGTCTGGACTCTCGCTCCGACCCAGTCTGTTTGGGGCTGAGGCTTGCCAACCTTGGCGGCAAATCGCAATGCAGGGCTTGTGGCCTGCGTTGCTGATAGCCAAGTCATGAAAAGGCAAGAGAAACATTACATGACCTCAGGCGGAGGAGACACGACAACGCATTGGAAAGAAGAAAGAAACCCAAGCTCTAACCCTGCTCGGAAGATATCTGCCTCATCGCCGTAGAGAGACCTCAGCTCACAGCGCCGACGTTTTGACCAAATTATGCAGCTTTTCGCTGCATGTCTGTGCAAGCCGTGCGCCACTAAACGTGCGAGTACAGTTTCAAGTCGGCTGAGCGATGGGCACGACGACGCTGGCATCCTTGACAAGCCGTGGATAATCGGCCTGTAGCGTGCTCTTTTTGCCAAACTGGAAATGCCACAATAGCAGAGTTCGACATGTCATTGAAGTGCGGATCCTTGCACTTAGCCTGGACGAGCCATCGTTTAAGCAGGTGACTTATTGCGCCAGGACGAAAGTTCGTCGCATCCGGTAGGTCTGCTAACACATACTCGCAAACCCCTTTCCATGCTCATTTTGGCATGGAAATTCCTCCGCTAGCCAGGCCACGTAAAATGCACTTCTTCGTACTCCGAGTCCTCCGCCAAGCAAAGACATCTTAGTGCGACAAAACTTTCATCCTGCTGATGCTCGCCCGCGACTAAAAACGAGTAGGCGCCCGTCCAAAAAACCTCCTCCGTGTGACACATGCTGGCCTGGCCGAACTAGCGGTCTTGGAATTCATGCCCCGTCCAAAAAACCTCCTCCGCGTGACACATGCTGGCCTGGCCAAACTAGCGGTCTTGGAATTCATGCTGCTCACCCGCGACTAAAAACAAATAGGCACCCGTCCAAAAAACCTCCTCCGTGTGACACATGCTGGCCTGGCCAAACTAGCGGTCTTGGAATTCATGCCCCGTCCCAAAAACCTCCTCCGTGTGACACATGCTGGCCTGGCCAAACTAGCGGTCTTGGAATTCATGCTCCTCGCCCGCGACTAAAAACGAGCACGCACCCGTCCAAAAAACCTCCTCCGTGTGACACATGCTGGCCTGGCCGAACTAGCGGTCTTGGAATTCATGCTGCTAAAAACGAGTAGGCACCCGTCCAAAAAACCTCCTCCGTGTGACACATGCTGGCCTGGCCAAACTAGCGGTCTTGGAATTCATGCTGCGCCAGGACGAAAGTTCGTCGCATCCGGTAGGTCTGCTAACACATACTCGCAAACCCCTTTCCCCCATAGACTCCTTCACGAAGTCGCGATGTTTGGCAAGGACGTCACTGATTCCTCCGTCGGAACAAAAAAACAAGTCGCGATGTTTGGCAAGGACGTCACTAATTCCTCCGTCGGAACAAAAAAACAGTGTATGTTCATTTTGGCATGGAAATTCCTCCGCTAGCCAGGCCACGTAAAATGCACTTCTTCGTATTCCGAGTCCTCCGCCAAGCAAAGACATCTTAGTGCGACAAAACTTTCATCCTGCTGATGTACGCCGCATGCATCATGTGCTTCGCGCGGCGTTGGATGCATTGATCACTCAGCTTTTGCACCACGGGGCGGCAATTGCACGACTTTGTCGGGTGTAGGGCACATACAATTCTTGAGCAGTTATTGCCACTTGCTTGGTGCAGTGATGTGAACGTCCACACAATATAACTGCACATTACCCATGAGATGCCTGGAGTCACCAACACTGAGGTACCAAATGGGACACGAGAAGGCTCTGCGAAGCCAGCAGCGACTATCGTTGCGGCCGAGAGGCAATAAACCTTTCGTCAAACTCCCGGCTGAAGGCTGCAAAGCGCAGGTGTGGATACCTGTGCCAAGCAGCCCCAAAGAGTTGAGATAAACGTGAAAAGAATCAGCGCCACACTCACGTGAGCTGAGCGGCAGCTTGCTTCACAATCGTGTCTAGTGCAGAACCCTCTCTAAAGTTGTATAAAGAAACATTCAGATCGGCATCGTCGTCCTCATCGTCAAAACTATTCTGGTCGTTGCTCTGTGGCTTTGTGAGTGTGGCTCGGGTACTCGCCCTTACAGAAAGATGGTGGTGGTGGTGGTGGTGGTGGTCGTGTGGCGGTAGCAGATGCAGGTTTTGTCTCTACGTGCGCCTCCAGGGCATGTGTTATAGAGAAACTCTAATAACCCTCGATTATTCAGCATGCTGCTCACTCCCCTGCTGCAGCATCCCCAAACCTTGAACCATTGACATTCTCGAGCTTGACTCAGCTTTTGGGAAATTGCCTGTGGTGTCCATGAGACTCTGTGCTTGGACAACGAGGGTGAGTAATGTTTGCACGACTTCAGTCTTTGAAGTCACCAAATCCAGTGTGCTGCATGGACCTTGTGGTGGTGGCGGTGTTGGCGATGGCACTACTCGTCGTAGTAGTAGCAGGAGATGTAGTTGTAGAAGAAGTAGTAGCTGGTGTGCAAGCAGCAGTCTTAGAAGTAAAAATAGTGGAAGCAGCGGTAGTGGGAGTAGTGGGAGTAGTGGGAGTAGTAGTAGTCGTAGGAGGAGTAGTAGTAGTCGTAGGAGGAGTAGGAGGAGTAGTAGTAGCAGTAGTAGCAGTTGTTGTCGCTAGTAGTAGCAGTTGTTGTTGCTAGTAGTAGTAGTAGTAGTAGTAGTAGTAGTAGTAGTAGTAGTAGTAGTAGTAGTAGTAGTGGCAGTAGTACTAGCAGTAGTACTAGCAGTAGTAGCAATAGTAGCAGTAGTAGGAGCGGAGGAGTAGTAGCAGCCGACAGCCTGCTCCTGACCCCCTTATCTGGCGCTACAGCACCAGGATGCTGAAGAATACTGTTACTTTAGAGGAGCAGGCCGGCGACTACTGCTATTTTAGAGGGGCAGGTGGTGGAGTACTACTGCCATTGTAGAGGAGTTACTGCTACTTTAGAGGTTAGGCGGGACGACTACTGAGACTGCTACTACTGCTACGACAGGCAGTGGAAAAGGCTCTCCACAATCAGTTTGCAAGAGCGTGCAACAACATCTAAGATCCCCTGTACTGTTGCAGCAACACGCCCATCGCTTCCACGGGCTCTGCTCAGACATTGTGAAACAATCACTGCCACAGACGCACATGCTCCATGAGTCGATCTCGTCTACGACTACGAACACCATTCTGTATGCTTCGCAGGCCAAGCCAAGCCATTTTAAAAGAAAGCTCCGTGCACCATTGTGTCAGAGGAAAACCCTATCTGATAACAAGACCCCATCTAACAGGAAAGCTGTGTAATAGGAACAAATCGGGCAACAGAGCCGTGTCCACAAGCGAAGATGCGCTGAAACGGCTGCCGCATGCTACAAAACAGGGGAGAGGGGGGTCACAGGAGCAGGCTGTCGCCTAGTAGTAGTAGTAGGTGTAGTAGTAGTAGTAGTAGTAGTAGTAGTAGTAGTAGTCGTAGTAGTAGTAGTAGTAGTAGTAGTAGTAGTAGTAGTAGTACAAGTAGTACAAGTAGTAGTAGTAGTAGTAGTAGTAGTAGTAGTAGTAGTAGTAGTAGTAGTAGTAGTAGTAGTAGTAGTAGTAGGCGGCCCCCCAAACCAACTACTCCTTTTGCATGCATTGCTTTGGTGGGTGGGTGGGTGGGGGGTGGCTGATAACGTACAGGCAGCCTCGAACAGTTATGACCACCAATCTTCGAGTTTTCGCTGAAAGCCTTCACAAAGGCAAAAGACAACGTAGCAAAGTCCAGAGGTAGGCTTGGCGACTAGAGGGCTGACGTCACGAAAGCACTGTAAATATTGAGCAAAATGGCTCTTCCGGAGATGTCGTTCGGGGTGTCGGCGTAACAATGTCGTCGTCATTCTTCCCGTACCGCCAAAAGCAAGTCCAGAACCGGATGCTGGAGATTGAAAACTCGTTCTTAGTAATGGAGTGCGACATGAGCATAATACTTTAAAGACCGAGTTTTAAGCTTTCCCCCACCCAATTTCGAGTTTTCCGCTGAAAGCCCTCGCAAAGGTCAAAGACAACGTAGCAAAGTCCAGAGGTAGGCTTGGCGACAATAATAAGATATCAGACGTCACGAAAGCACCGTAACTACCGAGTAAATTGCTCTTCCGGAGATGATGTCCGGGGTGTCGGCGTAACACTGTCGTCATCATTCTTCCCGCACCCTCCCACCCCCCCAAAACAAACAGTCCAGAAAACGATCTCGGAGTTTCAAAACTCGGAGGTGATTTTTGAGGCTTCATGAGATGTTTCTACATGCCGAGTGTGCTGTAAATACCGAGTAGAACGGACGTGGGTTACAAGCGTATGCAACACGCAGCGTAGTAGTAGGAGTAGGAGTAGGAGTAGGAGTAGGAGTAGGAGTAGGAGTAGTAGTAGTAGTAGTAGTAGTAGTAGTAGTAGTAGTAGCAAGAGTAGTAGTAGTAGTAGTAGTAGTAGTAGTAGTAGTAGTAGTAGTTGTTGTTGTAGTAGCAGTAGCAGTAGCAGCAGTAGTAGTAGTAGTAGTAGTCGTAGTCGTAGTACAAGTAGTACAAGTAGTACAAGTAGTACAAGTAGTAGTAGTAGTAGTAGTAGTAGTAGTAGTAGTAGTAGTAGGAGTAGTAGTAGAGTCGTAGTAGTAGTAGTAGTAGTAGTAGTGGTCGTAGTCGTCGTAGTAGTAGGAGTCGTAGTAGTAGTAGTAGTAGTAGTAGAAGTAGTAGTTGTAATAGTAGTGATAGCAGTAGCAGTGGCAGCAGTAGCAGTTATCAGTAGCAGCAGTAGTGAGCAGCAGGAGCTGCAGCATGCTGCTACTGTAACTGTAGTAGCAGCAGCAGAGGCTGTAGCTGTAGAAGCATGGCTCCAGCAGCAGCAGCAGCAGCAGCAGCAGCAGCAGCAGCAGCAGCAGCAGCAGTAGTAGTAGTAGTAGTAGTACTAGTACTCGTACTCGTACTCGTACTCGTACTCGCAGTAGTAGTAGTCGTCGTGGTGGTGGTGGCAGCAGCAGACCTTGCAGCTGCGGTGGTTCTGGTCATCACTACAGCAGCAATAATTAGAACCTTGCAATTTGTCGTTGCTTGCGATGCTTAGTAAAGTATTCGCCAAGGCCGCGCTGGTGGCACTGCCAACTTCTAGTTCAACAGGACTTTGGACAGATCTTAATCTGATCGTGGTTCGGGGCATCGCCTCTTCCTAAGCCAGGTGCAGTCATTGGAGGCGTGGGCCTGCACGCCGAATGTCAGCTCAGGATCTAAAGCCACCCTACGGTTTTAGACATGATGCCCGTAGGCCAACGACAAACATCTCTGTGCTTGCTTGTCCGGTGTGATGAAGGCGGCTGCCATCCTAACCTGTCATGACCGCACTGATTTCCAGGACGTGCTGGCAATATGCCCAAGAGATGCCGGGGTCTACAGCGGCATCATTCGAGAGATAAGTACATGCTTCGAGACAGGTGTCGTGTGTCTGGAGAAGGCATCACAAGGCTTCTTGGGAAGTCCTTCCCGGTGATCCTCCATGTTGGATCCACAACCTGGGCGAGGAATTAGTCGATGCAGATAGAGATGAGCAAGACAGAATTCTGCCGTAGCAAAGTCTCACTACCCCGATGCTTTTACGAAGCGCGCAGCCTCACTGGCTAAACACATGAAACATCCTGGCTCAAGCTGTTGATGACGGACCCTTTGAAGCCAAGCCTGAACACTGAACCAGGGAAACCTCAAAGCTCAGAGCCTCAGCGTGATGCTCGGCCCCGAGCGGTGACGCCCACGCCACGTGCGAGTAGTGCTGAAGCCAGGAAGCCGGGCTCGCCGCCCACCTTTCTCCAAAGCAAGGCAAGTGCGTGGTGTCGTAGTCTTGGAACAGCTGTTCGAAGACAAAGACAGCAGGATTGGAACAGAGCCGTCACGGGCACGATCGGCGTCAGCACGTCTACACTCGTATTTCGGAAGATGCAACGTTTTTGCAACACAACCGAGGTCAGGACATCTAAGACACCACTTCCTGCGCACGAAGGGTCATGGAAATCGACTGAGCAGGGCTCCGCTGAGACGCAAGAGCTTTCCACGTGCTTGGATCGTGCTGTGGATCTGAACTTGATCGCAACCCAAACATGATATGGCAGATGATTGCGGATGGAACGTTGGTGCTGCCCTACATGTACGTTATAAGCATGGCTTGCTATTCGGGCTCAGACATGCCGAGGTCCTCTGCACATGTTCTGCAATCCCCAGTTGCAGACCTTCAGAAAAAGACGCAGACGGTCCAGTCAATATGTCACACCACCCAGGCACGGATCCCCTGCAGCTGCTTGGCTGCCGGGCCATCCAATCAACGATTCGATCAGCTTCGTACCTTGAGCAAGCCGCTGGTCTGGACAAATCGTAGCAGCGTGTACCGGTTCGTTCTTCTGAGACCCTTTTCGGGCTGAGGATGCTGAGGCACAAAAGAAAGCGAAAGCTTGGAGACAGACCTCTTATTCTCACACCACCTGGAACCATCAGGCCCAGCGACCTCGCGAAACCGTAGTGGCTTCAACTCTTCAGCGTTCTAGCTACGCAATCGCAGCCGGCTGAAGAATCCGTGTGCCCGCCACAGATAACTTGGAGCCTACTTGGATTCGGGCCCAGTCGCGCCACTCTTGCCTTGCATCGCAACATCCAGAAAACAACGAGCTGATTCACAAATGCTGCTCGTGCTCATTTGAGCTCCCAGCGCTGCCCAGCCCTGGAATAGCTGCTTCGACCTCTTTCGCTTGCAGATGCAAAGCCGGCTAGGTTGCTGTGGTTACACGCAGGTGCAGAGCGGCTTCTGCATTCGGCTTTCCTGCAGACCCCTCAAACTCCGATGAAGATCCATGAGCTACTCAACACCGACGTCGATGTCCACACTTCCACTCCGGAACCGCGCGCGCGCGCGCGGGGCGCGGGCAAGGCTTCTCAGCGACTTCCCGCGGACCGAAGTCGCTGCACTTCCAAATGTCCGCAAGGCAGTAATTAGTAAGGATCAGAGCCTCTCAGACGGAGCTGCATTCGGGACGAGCTTCGGTCGCGCAAATGCCTGTTCGCACACTCTTTCCATGGTTGAGCTTGCACTGCGTCGCTTGAGCTGTTCAGTTTTGTGGAAGCTACTGAGGCTGCAGATTGTAGATTTGCTGGCGTCTGTGCACACCCATGGCTCAAGTGGTGCATGTGGGCTTCGAAGTTCGTAGGTGTGGCTGCGACCATGCAGCTGAAACCGCTACCGCAGAACAACCATTGCCGTGATGAGCTGATGTGGTCGTTCTAGATTGTAGATCAAACGTAGATGTGCCCCTGCTCGTTCCGCGAGCTACTGGCAGGAACTGAGCTCTGCTGACAGTCAGGCAACTGCACCCCCCACACTTTTCTTTCATCATTTGTGCAACTTCGTCGTACTTCTCTTGGCTCTTTCGGCCGGTCGGTAGTGCTTGCATGCAGCGGGATGAGGACCTAGCCTTTCCACTCACACCTCCCTGTGCTCATCGGGTACACTCGCAGAATCGAAATTCGATGGGCGTTGGGTCGTCTTACCAAAAAAACAGAGCCAATCATCAAAGCGTTTCGGGTGCACCAGTAGGACCTTTGGACCGGGCAGCCGTCAGGTCAGGTGGGCTCTAGGCGAGAGTGGTTTGACTCGTCCTCACACACTCGTCTCTTCGCAAATTATGTTGGCTGGCGCTGTGCTGGCAAGGCAGAAGCTTAAAATCTGAGGGCAGGTTTTAGCTCCAGCAACCTGGCTGGGGCCGATCGTAGATGATTGTAGACATGTCGTCTATTGTCGTCCAGTTTAGGCGTGTTATAAACAAAGGGGCTGCCAGCCACTGCCATCTGCCATCGCTACAGTGACCATCCACTATGGATCAGTGGGAGTGGGCAAAAGAAAACAAGCAAACGGTCGGTGTGATGTATACTGTATAAAGAAAGACTTATGACTGGCGAAGCACGTGCTTCTACCATCCAATGCTGCAACATGGAAGGAGCGCTTGGTGGGACCCACCGCTCCGAAAAAAGTTCTGCGAGTATGACAGCATGGCTTGTGATGACTCTTCCTGTGCGCGAGCCTGCAACTCTTTACCAACCGACGAGGTGGCACTTGCACTTGAAGATTTGCACTTGGAGTCGCCCTACACAGCAGCCGGCAGCCAGGTTTCAGGCTCACGCGTGGTCATAGGAAGCCAGGGCTCTTTGGCAAGCGGGGTGCTCTTCCAACAGTTGCTCGCAGCTTTGCCATGCCGGCGCAGGACTACACATCGTTTATCCTCACAAACTGATTGCTCGAGACCAGATCTACAGCAGTAGGCGCTGGAGGTGTTCTCTACACCTTGGCGAATCGGAGCGTGGCAGCTCATGCGTCAACTCCTGGACATTCTACATGCAATGCATGTTTGACATGCTCAAAGCAAGAGATCTGTACACAATGTGAATTGTCCATCGGCGACGGCTGGGTGCTAAAGGTGGCTGTGGTGGCAATGCAGCAGCACGTGCCCGCAACATTTGATGGAATGACGAATCGCTGTTATCACCTTTCCGCTGTTGAGCCCCATGCCTGGGAGTATGGGTGAGCCCTGAATCTGGCAAGAGCACCGTGCAATCCAAAATCCACCCACGCCGCACCTCGCTTGCGTTAACATCCCGGCTTAAGCACCGTTCAGTGCCAACGGTCCCGGGCTAAGCAACACTCACTGTCTGTTCAGCACTGTTGGCCATGCAAATGCGGGTTGTCTCGTGCAACACCGCAGCTCTTTACATGATGACCTCAGCATATCGCGGGAAGCCGTAGGGGTTCGCATCCAACAGGCCCATGGCATTTTGGAAATCTGGAACGCCCTCTCCGGGATCTTGCGAGGATTGTCCCCACACCTTAGCAGCACAGGGCCCGGAACTGTCCCGCACTGCTACGACGAAGATGGGCCATGTTCAGCCCATGGGCTATTGGAGTGGGAGTTGTCCTGTCGCAAAGTGCTAGGTTCGCCACTCGTCACTGTAGACGCTGCGCAGTGAATGTTTATCACTGAACCATGGCTGAATCAGTCGAGGGTCTGAAACAAACTCCTGAAAGTTCGTTGACCAAATAGATGCTCGCACATCATCATAATTCTGGATGTCAGTGGTGCGGTACGCAACACCATCTACCTTGAAAGAGATGGAGTTGTCCCCCAGGTCAAACCTAAGCAACCACACTTCATGGAGTCGCCGTGCCACAAGAGTTGCAGACCACTCAATAGGACTGCTCCGTTGTCTGTTGAAAAGTGCCAGGCAACCCATACTCGTGGTAGTCCTGCGTCACGTCGAAGGGCACGATAATCCACTGATTATGCTCGACGGCGATGCCGGTAAACATGTTGGTCCAAATGCGAGACTGGCCACCAGGACCTGTAGCAGGACATTTGCTCTTCTCATCTTGGCACGTGTTTCTGGGATTCGAGACCAGCTTCAGTCTGCTTAGATCTGCTTAGGGTTCTGGGCGGGGCCTGCCATGTTGCCCATGATTTCAAAGTCAAGCTCAACCCACGGATGTGTCTTCGTCCTCAGTATGTGGTGAAAGCACAGGTGCTGAAACATCGAAGTGCGTCAAAGTCCCTCGCTGCGGCCCTTAGAGCTCATGATCTGCCCAGAAGCTTATCGTACAGGCCGCCGTTGTTGGACAAATAGAAGGTGGTCACGACGCCAGGTCCAGGTGCTGCCTCTGTACAGTTTTCTGAGTCACGAGGGCTATCACTCAAGAGAATTGTCGGCACTGCCGAACGCTACCCACACAAAACTGAGTTCCGTCACACACTGTGGGAGGCAATATGTGGGCAGATATTGTTCTCCAATGTTCTCCATACGCATGCACAGCACGTGTGTCTGCCGGTGTAAGCCCGTCCCGGCCAAATTGCATGAGGCAATACTGCTGGCCCCTATTCTTCCACCAGCGCTGCAATATTCACACTTAACAGTCGATGTGTTTGTGTGTCTTGGTGTACCCATATCGACATCATTCAAGCCTGTATGCATGCCTGATATGTCTGCAAGCAAATGTGACCATTATAGTGCAGCGATAGGAATGGATACAGACCGCGAGCGCACACACAAATGCCAGCACAACAACAACTTGGCAACTGTACTGTATCCGCATTGTTCACGACCGCACTGTGTGGGAAACGGGATTCCGTGAGGGCAACAGGCCTTGATCCGGACGGAATGGTAGCCTCTGCCGACGAAGTTGTGCGGCGCACTCAAGCGAGTGCCTGTTGGGCTTCCAACAACGTTCTCTCAAAACCCTGCTGCCAGAACTGAAATAAGTGCAAGTCCCCCTTGGAATGCAAGTGTCGTCTTCGAGGCACTGCATGCTAAATCTTACGAGTTGCCACACTGGTGCATGGACGGGCCATCGCATGAAATCCTGAACAAGGACTGCATAGGACTGCAGTGAACAGTAAACATCGATTAGATCAGCTGTCCTGTGTCTCCATCGTAAACAAGCCCGACGCCCTTGCAAGGTCTTTTGCCCTGCCTGCAGCTCGTTGTCTCCTGCCCTCATACTTCTTCTGAAGACAAAGTTAGCCTATTCTCCAATGTCAGTGAGACACAAACACAGCCCGAAGGAAAACGACGACCTGACTGCGTGTGTGCGGCACCGGCTTAATTACAATCAAATTGCTGTTGCTAAGTTGCACTCTCCCTCTTTGCATGACCTGGCTCTTTCACAGGGTCCTGCGCACCCCGTTTGACAGGTGGCAGCGCTGGGCAGAGTAGGCTACCTCGCGAATCTTCGGGAATGCGCTGGGTCATTGTCAGGAGCTGTTTATACACGACAACACAGCAGACACCCGACTGCTTGGCGCGGCAAGGATAACAATTCGCAATTTTGAAAGATGCCTTCAGCAATGCTTGACGAAACCTTTTGCTTCTTGTTGTGATTTGTCGCTTCTGTTTACAACGCTTACCGTTGCACTGGGGAGCATATCTCCTTCGCAAAGGAATTGGCTGGATCTTGCTTGGACATCTTGGACATCTGGATCAAGCCCAGGTGCGGCCCACCCGCCGGCGTTGCAGGAGTTCGGGCAGCATGCTGGCCAGCACACGCTGTCGTCCCTGTTACCTGCTGATAACGAAACAGCATGCTCCATGCACCAGTGTGCAAGCAGACTCAACCGAGTAGCCGCAATTCTCGCCGTTGTTGGTCCAAGAGCAGTCGCAGGAGATGACACCTGCAAGTGCTGGAATCTGCTAGAAGGCACGAAAGCCAGCGACCTTGGACCTTGAAGCTGCCATCCTGCCAAGAGGATCGCCAAGCAGAGTGGCGATCGAGCCATCTGCAGCAACCTCCAAAAGGCGCGTGTCGAAACTCTCGACTCAAGAGCTGCAGCTGCACGTAACTGGCAAGATGCACCTGGGCGTAAAGAAACAGCAGACCCAAGCTCGACAAAGAGCCAGCACAGCTGCAGAATCGAAACAAAGGCGTTCATCTCGTGGATGTACCAAGATTCTCTTCGGCTGAAGTGCTAAAGGGTTAGCACTCACTCTTCTATGCAAAGAAGCTGCGACCCACCGGTGCAGTAGCCCATGCCCGACCAACTGCACTGTATGGACTTCCCCAACGTCTTCGCTTGAAACATGCTTCCGAACGATTCTGCACCCGGATGGTTCCCAGTGTTGCCTCGTGGGCGCAGGAGTCAATGTGCCGCCTGCAGCAGGGAGTTGACAGAATCCTTGTGCCGATGTCTTTACGATTTGCCTTTGACTTCGATTGATGCCCAGAGCTCATGTCCAAAAAGCGCTCGAAGAAAGCCGGGACTTCGCACTGCAGCTCTTCGAAACCACGCCCCTCACCGCCCTGTTGCAAGCAGTGCGGAGCTCTAGACACATGGAGTCTGCGAATTCACGGCGAAACTCGCGTCAAGAAACCTTCCATAACTGCAAACCCCTCGTGCTGCCATAGAGGCAGCCTGATCAGCCTGTACACCTGGAACAAAATCACTCATGACTTCCATGACCATGTGCAGCATCATGCGCCGCATGCCCGGAATCTTCGTGGCCATGACCGTGGCCATGGCCCTCATGGCCCCCATGGCCCTCATGGCCCTTGTGTCCGTCATGGCCCTTGTGTCCGTCATGGCCCTCATGGCCCTTGTGTCCGTCATGGCCATCGCAGCAGTGGCTGTCCCCACCATGACCAGCGTGGGCACCATGTGAATCGTCGCCGTGACCGCCATGACCATGGCTTTGGCTGGGCATGAGAGCCTGCAGGGTTTCGCTTAGGCTTAGCCGGAACTTGACTGGCAAAGCAAAGGCTTTTTTGTACCTGGCCTGCTGGATGTCTTCCTTCTGGACGTCAGCAATGGGTTTGAGGACCTTGTAAACACCTTCTGGCCAAGGAGCGGATGAGACAGCGTGGACCGCTGGAATCTGCTGGACTGTCCACAGAATCCGAAATGAAAGCAGTTAGGAGGCCATTCCCTGGCTTCGGTGCTTTGACGCCGAGATCTGTCAGCCTGAGCGTACGGCCGAAGAGTTGATTCTGGCAGATTCGTGTTTCTGCTCGTATCTTATCCTGTAAGGGGTGCGAATGCATGTCCACACAAGGAAAGCTGGCGAGGTCACACGCTCTCAATTTGCAAGATCCTGGCCTTGCAACCAAGATTACGACATCTCCCTGGAAGACACAGATCCACAACCATCCAAGCTCAAACCCTTTTTCCATCTTTAATTTGGCTATCTATGGCAGGTAGCACAGTCTCCACAGGTGGGCAGCCCTCCTCTGCACAACGGACCTATCACGGGAAGGCTCGATAGAGTAGAATCCAGCGATGATGTTGAGGCCGATGAGAAATGATTTCCAGCTGCTACGGGCTTCCTCACCGATGATTGGATTCTCAGCAACTGTTTCAGCTCATATTATGCATTTATCAAGCTTTTCAGGGTTCTGATGAGCTTCTCAACTCTTCTGTCATGCGTTGGGGTCTTTCGCACTCGTCGCGTCTTGCTCTCCGAAACTTTGCATCATACTCGGCCCTCAGCCACTGCAGCTCATGAGTTGTCAACATAACATGGAGGGGCACACAGAGTCTATCCTGTATTCCGGACTTGGTCTCAAAAGCTACATCTGGCCTGGCACATGGCATGAAACCATGTTTTTGATGCTGACTGATCAAGCTCACACGGTTACCGTGGTGCTTCTGCAGCACAGGCACAGTGCTTTCTCCATAGTGGCCTTAATAATTAGAATAGGGTTTTTGGGCCCATTATACACTAATTATGATAACAAAACCCCCAGAATTTTGTAGGCAGTCTAGGTAACTATCAAAGCCCCTATATCAACCCCAGTCATCCCAGGAGCTCGGTTGACGGTGTTGGGGTTTTCTGTTCGGCTCCAATAGAGAGCTCCAGGGTTTCTCGGCTTCGGGTGCGAGCTGCTTCTTGCAGGCTGAACCGCAACACACACACACACATATTCTCTCTGTAGTTACTTCACAGTAACTTGACCCTTGCAACAATAGGGTGGAAGTCATGGCTGTGCGGGGATGTCTTCTTAACACCTCCACATAAAGTACTTTAGCGGCTTACTGTCTCCAGGCTACCTCCAACAATCAGAGTACCTGCCTTTTTGCGTGATGCCTCCTTTCCCTGAGTAGACACCAGACCCCACTAACCATCTTGCGCCGGAACGGAAGAGATGCTTGATTCCCAAACACAACTGCCTGAGTTGTTGCGTTGGCCTCCGACACGGACCAGGTGGTTTCTTTCCCCGCCGCAGCTAAAACTTCGTCAGCCCACGCCTGGTGCACAGCTTTTCACAGGCGCGCCTGTTAAAGGTTCAGCTCAAAAGGCCGCGACTAAAATGCCAGCCCCCCGTTGCCTCGATCTGTGCAGAGTCGGTCGCCATCGGTGATATGCAGAACAGCAGAAGTCTACAACGTATATACGGCTGAATCTGACATGTGGCTGCTGCTACAGCACATCCTCAGGGTTTGATGCCAAAGGCTGCAGGAGATCATAGGTCATAGGCCATACCTGTTCGCTCGATGACGCACAATCAACTAAGACCATTTGAGAATTATGTCCAGGACGAAAACATCGGCACGTGAGCAGTGCTGCAAAAGCCTCTTGCAGCAGGAAGTTTGAAGATGCGTCATGGGTCCTTGTCGAGATGGACGTCTGCGCTCTGGGCGGAAACCAATGTCTAGTCTAGTCTGGGATGCCATGCCAGGAGGAGAAGACGTGCCACCGCGACTTGAGTTTAGGGACACTACGATATGCCTCCACCTGTCAACATTCGGAAATGTTCGCAGAAGATGACAGAATCTCACTGAAGCGGCTGCCAGCTGAAATAAGCCCACTGCGCTTTGTGCCGTGCCCGTAGTTGCAGCCCTGATGAACAGCTGCAAAGAAAGACCAGCTCTTCGTGGCTATACGGCAAAACAGAATTCAACATTGGTCCTTCCGAGTCTAACAACATGATTGAGTGATTCTGCCGGGGGTGCGAACACCCTTGCACTTGCAAGGCAACAGAAGCTGCAGTCTAATGGCAAAGGACTTCTCAGACTCACACCCCATAATCCCAGGAGCAGTGACCAGGCGTGGGCCTTTCGCATATCGAAGGCTGACGCAGACAAAGCTTTGGACTTTACACATTCTCATGAGAGCCTCAGCAAGTTTGACTTGATTTTGCACGACGGATCACTTTGGCCCTGGATGTAGACAAGATACGTTTTTTTGTGTACTCGGGCTGGCTGTCGGCTCAAGGCCATCATATAGCTCAGTCGGCATTGCACCATGTTCCCTCAGTCAAAAGGGAACGGCCGCCTTGTGCGCCTGAATGGTGCTTCAAAACCCTTGACCCCGAAGCAAGCACCAGGCAATGACCGAATGGAGTGCTGATGCTGTTAGTTCCACGACTCCTCTGCAGTGTTGGGCCTGCCTTGGCTTTCTGGATCTGCTTCGGGCCCGCGCAGGCTGAGTGTTCAAAGCACGACTCAGCCTTGTAAAACGCGTGAAAGGTGACTGCAAGCTTTCGCGAGACCACAGGTCAAGGGTACTTGTGCCGCCTTGACTTGAATACAAGGGAACTTCTGCCAGGGAGTTTCCACGAATTCGCGAATACGTTGCCAACTTCCTTCCCAGGGTACACGAAGTCGTGATGTCAAAAATATAATACAATTAATTAGAGGAAACCGATGGTAACTCCACCTGGCATGTCCCCTGGTCCACTGTAGTTGTGCGCAGCCACGCCCGGCCTGCTGGGATACGACACTGCCAGGCTTCCATTCCTGCACTTCTCGGACTACGCTCCGCATCCTGGCGAACTCTTGGGACAGGGTCAGCAGGCTGCAGGGCTCCTGATTATGTTGGAGATTCCTATTTCTCCCACGGAACCGGCGACCGGTGCTCTCTTTGGAGCTCCAATGAAGGATGCGACGGCCTTTCTGACACCGACATGGCGCCTGACTCAGGGTATGTTGCACTCACTAAGTGCTTCGGAAGCCCAGTGCCACTACAAAGCACTCAATGACTCCGATGAAACTGCCCAGCTGTCACACAGCTGGATACCGTCGATTGTCGGACTGCACTCATGCTACTAGTTCTGATACCTAACCGTGAAACGCCATATTGACAGGGGTCTACTGCATGTTGACTTCAAGTCCAGCGACGGTAAGCTTCAAACTCAGAATCTCTCACTGCAGGGGATCCGACGCGATTTCCGACTTCACGGGATCCGAGACGATTTCTGACTTCACCAGCTCTGGATCATAGGCTGCAGCCACTTCTGAATGGTCCTCCACATCCTCCGCTGCCGCTTGGTCCCCATCAATCAGGCCGAGTCCCAGCTTTCTGGAGTTCGTCACTGTGGACACCCAGACCTCTGTGCTTGCAACCGTGGTCACTCACAAGTTTACTGCAGCTTGGGCTGCCTCCGATGTGCACCCGAGTTCGGGTTCAGAAAGCTATCATGGAGTGTCCTTGTGCCGAGCTTCCCTTCTATATGGAACTGCGGATACTAGCATCACTACTCGACGACTTGGCTGTTTATTCCGGAGGTTCAAATCCCTCAAGGGCACCATCATTGGAATGCCGCACTTGGCGATCACGTCGGCGATGGCGTAGCCTGCGACCTCAACCTCCTCCGGCAGTGTTTTTGTACCTTGGCTCGGTACACACATCTCCAATGAGCCACGCGATTTGCTCGGTACCGAGTTCCAGACATTCGCAAAGGGCAAAGAGCACAGGATAGATGCACCAAATTTCTGCCTCAGATGTGTTTTCTTCGACGTCGCCTCTGCACCATATTCAATATTCAGCGGTGGATAGTGGTGGTCTACCGTCGCATGGCAGTTTTTTTGTGTCGAGAACAGGGGCACAGCGCCTCAGTTCAAGCTCCAGCCACTGTAAACGTAGTTGGTTGTATATCCTGCCGTTCCTTGTATAAGACCTTAAAGAACCGACCCTATAGCACGATCATGATAACAATTGGACCTTTTCCAACCAAGCGGCTGTGCGATTGGCGACAAACTTGAAAAGCATCTCGGCCTCGCCTCCTACGCAGGAGAAAGCAACCGGCAAATAACACCATTAATACCAAAGATCATGTCCTGACATATGCTATATGTACAAAGCTTTATGTACTTATGCCTATAGGTACACATGCCACGTCAACATCAAGATTTTCTTCTAGAGTAATGCAGTCATCGAGGATCGCCCTCAGTCACCGGATATGCCAGCTGGAAATTTTATCAAGCTGCAACCTCAAGAGCTGGAACTTTATTCGTGATCTGCATAAGCAGCACCGTGCTGCCAATGCTAAAGCTCGCTATTCAAAGTTGCATTGAACCAACACAGCCCAGCTGTCCCAGCTTTTCCGCTTTGGTTGTGAGGCTGAAGAAGAGCTTCAGCACAACCCCCGCAAAGGACAGCAGACCCAGCATGAAGAACGGCCACTTGCCTGAATAAGTTTGCGAATGCTCGTGGATGCTTCCCAGATCAAGAAAAACGATGCGAGCCGTCTGTCTTCTGCAGAAACCATTCACAGGCTATCAAGAGACTCGAATGCAACCTCCTCATGTGTCACGTCTCCGGTCAATATTAAGGAGTCACGAAATGGGCTCTGAAACCAGAAAGCCTTGGAGCTGCTCGGCCTAAGACAGAACTTCCGACACTCGGTATTACTGGAGTTCTTCGTCCGGCAGGCCGGGCCTGAATAGCTCAGGGAGGACGCAATGCCGAAAAGCAGCATCAGCTCGTCAATCACCTGGGCTGGGCTCGCGAGGTAGGTCTGTGACGAGAGGCATCGTCACCCAGCCTGTAACAACATAGTGCCAGCTTGCAGCCGTCTTTAGTAAAAGCAACAGCAAAACCAAGAGTTGCAAACACCACGACATTGAGAATACCATCGATCTGAACATCATCAGCAGCAGCAACACATCACCATCACCACGTGATCCGAATCAGGGACATCACCAGCAGCAGCAACACAGCCATCCAAATGAGCACCAGCACCATCATCATCATCATCATCAACTCCATGGCCACATTGATATCATGGTCATGACACCATCTCATCTACTATGTATGCAGTATCACCAATGCCCCCTTCTGGCTTACGATCTGAGTTCGCTTGTGTATGCCGTACCTACTTCTCCGTACTGCTGCTACTGGTACTGCTGTTTGTGCTGCTGCTCCTCCTCCTACTGACGACGACGACTGCTACTACTACTGCTACTACTCCAGGGTGCTACTATTGCTGCTGCCACTTATACGGCCGCGAGCTACTGCAATCGTCGTTGCGCTTTCGACTACATCCCTGCAACCTCTGTGAATACAGCGCATGACCAGTGTGAGCAGAATAAAATGAAACCATTCAGAACAGCTATAGCAGCTATAGTTCTCATGAAGCCATGCATTCTTCTCATAGGTGAAAGCAACTAATCTGCGTGCTGGCCAGGATGCAATGAGCATAATTGTCTGCCAGTTGTCTGCTCCTGGGCTCCGCTCAGCCGAATCATGTCTGTCACAAGAACGTCAACGACGAGAAAGCTGCACTCGGATAAGGCCGCTTCCAGCAATGACGCCCAGCTCAAGGAGCATTAATGGCGTTGTGAAGCACCAATCAACATATCCTCAGTTCAACTGCCACGCCAAAGACGGCCCGTGCACATCCTGAAAGTTGTGTTGCTCCCGTGTTACACTTCGGTAAAGGGTTTTCATGCCTGGCGGGGCATGAATAGTAAGTTATGTATCCTGTATCTGCCATTTTGCCGTACGAGCCGCGAACCCAGTAAACTCGCATTCCATTCTCATCCTGGCAGGGTCATCTCCGCTTCCGGAAAATCGCTGTCGTCGCAAGGGGTGCAGAAGGCAAGACTTGCACATGCGGGCCACATGGACATATATGTCGCAACTACTAAGCGACGCACGTTGACCTCTCAGGACCGGGCCTCCAGGATGCCCATCCCCATGCTCATCAGGAAGTAGGCGATGGAGGCACATGTAGTCACCTCAGCCAAGCATTGTGGGCTTGAGGTGCCTGCCTGCGAAAGCCTGAGACTATGTCCTGGTCAACGAGGCAACTCTGAGCCGGGGCAGCAAAGTAAGGCAAGCAAGCGCAGGGCGCTCGCTGGGATTCAACAAAAACAGAGGTGAAGGCAACCCGGAGGCACAGGCGTAAGGCTTGTACCATCACAGCGATGCGGTTGAAGGCCGCAGTTGCATCTTTCCTTGCCTGGCGGTCATGGGGCTTGTATTTGCTGGATCCGCCCTCTTCATAGTCGCCCTTCATGTCTTATGTAAAGACTTATGAAAGCATTGGCACACCCGTGTCGTTTGACCAAAATGCCTGCACTTTCCAAGAACGCACCATCAGATTAAGAGCCGTGCCATGCCCATCAAGCTCAAGCTCAGCGTGCCTGATTCAGCGCCATGAATGCTTTATGTCACACGTTCCAGATTCGAAGTGTAGCCCAGCAGAACGTCTCTCTGCAAGTTCTTTGCTTTGCTTTGCTCTGGGGCGTGGGAGGCCTCTCTCTCTCTCTCT